TTTTTCAAATTAACATTAGTTTTTACCATTACTTTATGACTATTATGTAAATATTTCAAAATATAGCCTGTAAATTGAAACATGCTGCTACTATAAAGGAATTGTAGAGAGGTTTTCTTAATTTTTTTTATGATATCACTAATTGCGAAGGGCCTTGTATATATTGCAATAACTGACATCATGAAACATTTCTTTTGTGTGGAATTGCAGGAACCACAGATGTCTGATTGATAAATTTAATGGTACAAATTAATGCTATCAGTGGCCCTGGTACATAACAAAAATTTAGAAAAAAATCTTTACAATCCCTTTATGTAGCTTGATGTCTATATGTTACTTACCATATCAAATTGCTTGTTTTCCTGATAACAGACAGCTCTGTTGAAGAAAGCTAGAGAACAGGTATTATCTATTGAGGCAGCTTTAGACAGGTCTCTAATAGCTAAATCATATACTCTGATATGAAATTTCAGTGCACCCCTGAAAAAACAGAAAGTAACAATGAACTGGAATTTGGTGGATGTTGCCAAATAAACTCTCAGATTTACTGCAAATATACACAATCTACTCAAAACGCCGGCGAAAGATACACAGAACACCCTAGTTTAAACTTTAGTTTCAGGAGATGTGGTTAAAAAAATATCAGGAGATGTGGTAAAAGAAATATCAGTAGCTGTGGTTAAAGAAATATCAAGAGATGGGGTTAAAGGAATATCAAGAGATGTGGTTAAAGGAATATCAAGAGATGTGGTTAAAGATATATCAGGAGATGTGGTTAAAGAAATATCAAGAGATGGGGTTAAAGAAATATCAGTAGCTGTGGTTAAAGAAATATCAAGAGATGGGGTTAAAGAAATATCAAGAGATGTGGTTAAAGAAATATCAGTAGCTTAAAGAAATATCAAGAGATGTGGTTAAAGAAATATCAGTAGCTGTGGTTAAAGAAATATCAGGAGATGTGGTTAAAGAAATATCAGTAGCTGTGGTTAAAGAAATATCAAGAGATGTGGTTAAAGAAATATCAGTAGCTGTGGTTAAAGAAATATCAAGAGATGGGGTTAAAGAAATATCAAGAGATGTGGTTAAAGAAATATCAGTAGCTGTGGTTAAAGAAATATCAAGAGATGTGGTTAAAGATATATCAGGAGATGTGGTTAAAGAAATATCAAGAGATGGGGTTAAAGATATATCAGGAGATGTGGTTAAAGAAATATCAAGAGATGGGGTTAAAGAAATATCAAGAGATGTGGTTAAAGAAATATCAGTAGCTGTGGTTAAAGGAATATCAGGAGATGTGGTTAAAGAAATATCAAGAGATGTGGTTAAAGAAATATCAGTAGCTGTGGCTAAAGGAATATCAGGAGATGTGGTTAAAGAAATATAAAGAGATGTGGTTAAAGAAATATCAAGAGATGGGGTTAAAGGAATATCAAGAGATGTGGTTAAAGGAATATCAAGAGATGTGGTTAAAGATATATCAGGAGATGTGGTTAAAGAAATATCAAGAGATGTGGTTAAAGATATATCAGGAGATGTGGTTAAAGAAATATAAAGAGATGTGGTTAAAAAAATATCAGGAGAGATGTGGTTAAAGAAATATCAAGAGATGTGGTTAAATAAATATCAAGAGATGTGGTTAAAGAAATATCAGTAGATGTGGTTAAAGAAATATCAGTAGCTGTGGTTAAAGGAATATCAAGAGATGTGGTTAAAGAAATATCAGTAGCTGTGGCTAAAGGAATATCAGGAGATGTGGTTAAAGAAATATAAAGAGATGTGGTTAAAGAAATATAAAGAGATGTGGTTAAAGAAATATCAGGAGAGATGTGGTTAAAGAAATATCAAGAGATGTGGTTAAAGAAATATCAAGAGATGTGGTTAAAGAAATATCAGGAGATGTGGTTAAAGAAATATCAAGAGATGTGGTTAAAGAAATATCAAGAGTTGTGGTTAAAGAAATATCAGGAGATGTGGTTAAAGAAATATCAGGAGAGATGTGGTTAAAGAAATATCAAGAGATGTGGTTAAAGAAATATCAAGAGATGTGGTTAAAGAAATATCAGGAGTTATGGTTAAAGAAATATCAGGAGATGTGGTTAAAGAAATATCAGGAGATGTGGTTAAAGAAATATCAAGAGATGTGGTTAAAGAAATATCAGGAGATGTGGTTAAAGAAATATCAAGAGATGTGGTTAAAGAAATATCAAGAGTTGTGGTTAAAGAAATATCAGTAGCTGTGGTT